TCCAATTAGGGTCCAATTAAGGTCCAGAAAAGGGTCCGATTAGGGTCCAATTAAGGTCCAATTAGGGTCAGATTAGGGTCCAGAAAAGGGTCTGATTAGGGTCTAATTAGGGTCGTATTAGGGTCCAGCAGTGGTTTAGCAGATGCTAACGCTAACGGGCTGTCTTTACTCACTCTCCTGCCGGGGCTCGTGTCCGTAGAGCTGTGCGACGTGCGTGTGCTGCTGCATCATCTGCGTCTGCATGATGGGCGTGGCCACCTGGTGTCCCTGACCCTGACCCTGACCCTGGTTCTGGTTCTGGTTCTGGTTCTGGTGCAGCTGCAGGTGCATGTGCTGCTTGTGCATGTGCTGCTGCTGCTGGAGCAGGTGCATCTGCTGGTTCTGTTGTTGTTGTTGTTGTTGTTGTTGTTGTTGTTGTTGTTGCAGGTGCATCTGCATGCGCTGCTGCTGCTGGAACTGCTGCAGCTGCTGCTGGAGGGCCTGCTGCTGCTGCTGGAGCTGCTGCAGCCCGGGCCGCACAAGCTGCTGCGGCCGCAGCTGGGAGAACTGGTTCTGCGGGTTCTGCGGGTTCTGCGGGGTCTGGGGGAAGAGCTGCGGCTGCTGGTGCTGAGTCTGGAGCTGCAGGAACTGGGGTTGGGACAGTTGGGAGAGCTGGGGGGGGAATCCCGGACCCCCTGGCTGCTGTTGAATCTGCTGTTGAATCTGCTGCTGTTGTTGTTGTTGTTGTTGCATCTGGTGGTGCATTATGGGATGCGGCTGGGGGGGGGGCGGCTGCGGCTGGGTCAGAGGCTGGCCCGGGAGTTTGGGGTGGGAGAACAGGGAGGCCCCGGGGCTGGGGGGGGGCGGCCCGTGGCTGTGGTTGGGCGGCTGGTCCAGGGGTTTGACCTGGTGGCCAGACAGGTTCTGGAGGATCTGAAAGGGGGGAGGAAACAAGCACTGGTTAGCAGAAGTTCAGTTCAATTCAGTTCAGAAGAACTACAGGAATCTCACAGTCTTTCCAAACAGGGCAGAAAAGACTCTGAAGATAATTACAGAAGCACACCAGGCACAACCACATTAATGACCCTAACCCTAACCCTCCACCCTTCATAATCGTGAGAAATAAATATTTTCACTTCAGTTCAGAAGAACTACAGGTATCTCACAGTCTTTCCAAACAGGGCAGAAAAGTTAATTACAGAAGCACACCAGGGAACAAGGGACAACCACATTAATGACCTTAACCCTTCATAATTGTGATAAATAACCATTTTTTGGTTAAACTTGTTTGGACTTATTGTACAAACCTATTTAACATCCACGTTTTTAACATAATATTATGGATAGAGTTTAATTCAGTGTTTGCAAGATTCATTTAACTATTTTTAAATTAATGTCTATATTGCCATGAAGCAATTAGGATTTTTCTTGCCTGGGATCTTCTTATTGGGGACCTAATCAAAATGGCTGACTTGGATGTGGGGGAGTTGGATATCCATCCTTGACTTTATTAATGTTGGCATGTTATTATTAGCCATTAGCCACAGCTAGCAATTCAAGGCTAATGTCACTTTAATGATCATAAACAACGCAAATAAAGGGGACCAGGGCCAGGGACCAGGGAAATGGGACCAACAGGGACTAGGGTCAGGGTCAAAGGACCACCAGGGAACCAGAGAACCCCAGGGACCAGGACCTAGGACCCAGGGACCTGGCCAGAGGTTGGGTCTCCTTACGTGAGCCACGTTGGCCGGGCGGGCGGCCGGCTGCATCTCTGAGCTGTTGGTGATGTTTCGGAGGGTCCGGATGGTCGGGCTCCACCCGTGGATGCTGTCTGGGACAGAGACGCCTGCATCAGAGGGGGAGAGAGGGGTCAGAATCCAAGTTTATGACCCGATCCCGGCCTATCAGAGCCTGGACTAAAGTCTAAAGTTATTTATCTACTTACTTAGCTGTCAGACTCATGTTGAACAGGGATTTACTCTGATAACAACTTAATGGTTAGGACACAGACCTGTGGTTACAGATGCTAATGCTAATGCTAATGCTCTGATAACAACTTAATGGTTAGGACACAGATCTGTGGTTGGAGATGCTAATGCTAATGCTAAAACTGGATCTTGAGTCTGGATCGTTGTTTTCTCCTGCCGGCCGATAGGCAGTTTTTTTGCTAATATCGGCAGCCGATCGGATCCAGATATCGGATTAGTTAGGGTCTGATTAGGGTCCAATTAGAGGGTCTGATTAGGGTCCAGTTAGTTTCTCATTAGGGTCCGACTAGGGTCAGATTAGGGACCAATTAGGGTCTTACTAGGGTCCAGAAAAGGGTCTGATTAGGGTCTGATTAGGGTCCAATTAGGGTCCAATTAGAGGGTCCAGTAAATGGTCAGATTAGAGACCTATTAGAATCCAGTTAGGGTCTGATTAGGGTCCAATTAGGGTCCAGTTAGGGTCCGATTAGAGTCTGATTAGAGTCCAGAAAAGGGTCAGATTAGGGTCTGATTTGGGTCCAGCTAGGGTCTGATTAGAGTCTGATAAGGGTCAGATTATGGACCTATTCGGGTCCCTGGCGTGCTGACCTTGCTGGATGGAGTGGCCGATGGCGGCGTGGGCCTCGGCGGGCCCGGCCCCGCCCCCCGGGGCCGGAGGCACAGTGGCACACAGGTTAATGAGCCCGGCCCCAGCCGAGGACGCCCCGGGGTCCTTGCTGCCCGGGGGGCCCCCCCTCCTCCTGGCCGTGCCCGACAGGATAGCGGCCGTGGGGGTGACCACCTAAAAGGAGGTGTAGTGGTTAGCATAGCTTTGGATAAAAGCGTCTGCCAAATGTATGAACATTAGGGGTGGGACGGTTCACAAAATCCACCGTTCGGTTCGATTCACGGTTTCGGGTTCGGTTCGGTATGTGTTGATTGTTAGGAAAATCTATCATGTCTTGCATAGTCAGGTTAAAACTGAAAGAAAAAAGCAGTGTGACATGTGATCCATTACTGTGACAGTCTGAGGTTAAAGTAGGTGAGATTCTGCCAGAGAGGAAACAGAGCTAATTCCAACATGTGCTTCCCTCTAAATGCAAACTGGTCCATACAGCAGACCTAGAAACTGCTGCTGGTCTGGTTTTTATGGGCTACGCTGCTTCTTCTTCTGGTTTCCTACTGGTGGTTGGCTTTGGGCGCAGTAGCGCCCCCTTCTGCTCTGGAGTGTAAACGCTTCCCTCTGAGAAAAAGGAGCAGCAGGAACCGAACAAACACACGCCAACCCAACCCAGACAGAACCCAACGGTTCAGAAACCGTCCCATCCCTAATAGACACCTGTCTAAACACCTGTATAAACACCTGTGAAAACACCTGTTTAAACATCTGTATAAACACCTGTATAAACACTTGTACACCTGTATAAACACTTGTATGAATACCTGCATAAACACCTTTATAAATACCTGTAAAACACCTGTGAAAACACCTGTACAATCACCTGTATAAACACCTGTATACCTGTCAAAACACCTGTATACCTGTATAAACACCTGTCTTTTTCAGGTTTCTGTGATGTTTAAATACCGGTAAAGAAACCGTCCCATCCCTAATGAACATGAATATAACCACCTCGGCCGGGGTCCAGTTCAGGTTGGTGCCCTCCTTCTCCGTGGAGGAGTCATCGTCCGAGTCGTCGAACATCCGCTCGCCGCGGCGCTCCGGTTTTCTCGGGGAAGTGGGCGAGACGGAGTTGAGTCTTTTGGGTCCGGGGCGTCTCCGGGGGCTGGACTCCTCCCCGGAAGAGCCCCCGCTGGACTGCCGGGACCTCCGGGGGCTGTAGCTCCCGTCGGAGTGGGAGGGCAGGTCGTAGGACTCGGCCTCGCTGTCCTCCTCCTCCTGGATGTACGTGAGCCGGGGGTGGTACAGGGCCTCATCCTTCCTGCTTTTGTCTTGGAGAACGAGGAGAAAAAGGCGGGAAACGTGTCAATAAATCAATAAATATGTTATATATATATATATAAATATGCCTGGGGTGGTACAAAGCCTCATCCTTCCTGCTTTTGTCTGGGAGAACGAGGAGAAAACGGCGGGAAACGTGTCAAACATGGCGTCTTTCAGACTAGCTAGCTCCATTAGCTTGCTAGATTCTAATTAGCTTCAGCCTGTTCGATCAATAGACAACGAAATGTTGTTACTTGGCTACCAGTGTAACAGAGCTAAGACCTTATTCCTGCATGATAAATATGTTTTCTATAACTAAGCGCTAAGAGCTAGCTTAGTTATAGAACATAGAACTTGGTTAACAGGGGGGAACATATCAAACATGGTGTCTTTCAGACTAGCTAGCTCCATTAGCTTGCAAGGTGGATCTTGACAACGAAACGTTGATTACTTGGCTACCAGTGTAACAGAGCTAAGACCTTATTCCTGCACAATAAATATGTTTTATAAGAGCTAGCTTATAGAACATAGAACTGTTAGCATATAACTTAGTTAACAGGGGGGAAACATATCAAACATGGTGTCTTTCAGACTGATTACAAGCTATGTAATTGGGCCTCTTGTTCTAGCTAGCTTCAGCCAATCACAGCCTGTTCGATCAATCATGTGTATTAAGGAGACTATCTTGTTATTGGGATTAAAGGAACTGCATTAGCTTGGTTTAAGACATATCTGTCTTATAAATCCCAGTTTGTTCATGTAGTAATAATATAATTAAAGTATCTATGATTCTGATTTTGTGTAGATAAAGAATATTCCACCCTCAGGAGAGTAAGTGGTGGAGTTCCTCAGGGTTAGGGTTCAAACTCTAACCCTAATCGTCCCTTTACCAACATGTCTGAGGGCAGAAACAGCTGTATCCTGACAGGTGACTTTACCTTTGACAGAGTCTGTTATCCAGTCTGGGGTGACTATCTTGATGCCACAGTGTTTCAAGGCACACTCAAACTTTGCCTGGAGTTAAAAAGCAGAACACAAAAAAAAATGGCATCATCATGAGGTTGGATGAACACCAAAGATTAGCATTTAGAAAAATATGTGTTGGTTTCTGTATTAGGGCTTAACATTTACAGAAAAAACTCAGAGAAACCCACCCCTTTTGGCTCCTTCACCACCAAGTGTGTGACTTTCTTGTTCAGGTTGAGCTGGCAGTCCCCCCCATAGAAGGTTACATAGGCCCACAGCGCACTGAGGTCGTCTGGAAGCTGCCGGAAAGAGCACACAGAGACACACAACCATGGTAAACAAGGGTAGAAATCTCCTCTAAGACAGTCACTCAGCACACACTCATTAAAACCACACAGGTAATGGGAACTCCTGTTGAAAAAACATACACAGACACACACACGCAGACAGACATAAACACACACACACAGAGACACAGACACAGACAACCACACAGACACACACACAAACGGAGACAGACACACACACAGACAGACACACACGGAGACACACACACACACACACACAGACAGAGACACACACAGACATTCACACACACACACACAGACAGAGACACACACACCACAAACAGAGACACACACACACACAGAGACACACACACACACACACACACGCACACACACAGAGACACACACTTACTCTGGGAAGACAGGCTGTCACCCCAAAGAAAATCTGTCCTGATTCTGGGGAGAATCCGGTAACTCTGGTGTTGGTTGTTAGGGAAAACAGCTCCACTGACGCCACCTATTCTCTCTTTTTTAAACAAAATGGTTCCCACTGGGAGATTAAACATAATCATTCAGTCGGCAGGTCAGTTCCTTATTGTGTGAGAAACTAATGGAAGGATACGGCAGCAGGTCTCCACATCGAACGGAGAGGATCACCCAGGAGGGCTGCAAAGACACAGACAAGATAAGAAAAGATAAGAAATGATAAGATAAGATAAGATAAGATAAGACAAGATAAGATAAGCTAAGCTAAGCTAAGCTAAGATAAGATAAGATAAGACCAGATAAGATAAGACAAGACAAGATAAGATAAGATAAGACAAGATAAGCTAAAATAAGCTAAGATAAGATAAGACAAGATAAGATAAGACAAGATAAGATAAGCTAAGACAAGACAAGATAAGCTAAGACAAGATAAGATATGACATGATAAGCTCAGATAAGATAAGATAAGACAAGCTAAGCTAAGCTAAGATAAGATAAGCTAAAATAAGATAAGACAAGATAAGATAAAATAAGCTAAGATAAGCTAAGCTAAGATAATATAAGACAAGATAAAATAAGCTAAGCTAAGATAAGATAAGCTAAGCTTTACTGATCTCACAGTGGAGAAATCCACTGATCTCACATCGGCTTAGTGATTAAAGAAGGTACAAACAAGGAGGAAAAGGTGCATGAAGTATAAAAATAAATAAAAATACAAGGGAGTAACACAGAGATTTGAGTGACACATGTACAATCAGGATGGCTTATAAACAGTCATAGACTCATATACACAGTCATGAGTGGAGCTCCTCACAAACAGGAACTTTCAGAGCAGCTCCCCAGTTCAGGAGTAGCTCTGATCCCTAAAAAAAAAGGGAAAATGTTCCCATAGCTCCAGGAAGCCTCACCTTAACGACGGGCAGGTCAAAAACCTCTCTGGACTCGCTAACCTCCGGGTTGTCTCCATCCTCTGCGATGATGTGAGTGGCCAGAGCGTTGTAGGACACCTCCTTCCCTTTGCCTGCCTTCAGGAGCTGCACCACCTAAAAAGTAGACAGGTAAACATCTCAGGTGAGACGGAGATAGGAAAAAAACAGCTTCTCAAAGCAGGAACGACACAGAAACTCCAAAAAATAAACGTTTTCTTCTCTTGTTTGCGTGCCTTTGTTCACATTGAGCTCCACAGAATCACAGCGGACAGGGGCAGCTATTTTATTTGCCTATAACTCTGTTTTTTAAGAAGTTCACAGGCCTCAGATCTCTGGCCACAGGGGGTCAAACGGCCATGGCGCATGCGCAGTGAGCGGCGCGCAAGTGGGAAAGTGTTGACAGACTCAGACTGCTGGAAAATTTCAGCCTGGATCTGTAGCGCTATCCAACAACTCTGCACCTCATGTGCCGCCAGAATAAAGAGAAATAAGTCCGGGAATGGCTGCATTAGTCACCAGCTCCCCGCCCCCCTAACGGCTACTGTCCAGCTGTAAGCTAGCTATCGGCTAACACAGGAAGCTCTTAGCTAGGACATCAAGGCTTAGAGGTGCTATAATAGGAAGATGGAGCTAAGAAAAAAAGGTTTCTCAAGTCTGAAAGACAGAGAATGGGGTTTGGGCACAAAACAGGGGGTGCTTTGCATAAACCCGGTTAATGAGTTAGCCTGTTGCTAACACCTTGTTCAGATGAGCTTATCTGACATGTTAGCATGCTTCTAATACAGCTAAAATAAGCTAACAAATCAAATCCATACCTTCTGATCAATGTCTCCAACCAGATAGAACTTGACATCTTTGAACAGCTCGCACGTAACTTTCCCCTCCTCTTCAGACATGACTGTCCATAAACAGAGGATTCCGCCTCTGGGAGAGTTGTAGGAAGGGCGAATGTGACGGCTCCCGGCTACAAGCTAGCTGAGCTACTAGCGCCAAACCGCCGAGCGCGAACTGGACTGCACCACTCTGTGGTCCAGAGGGGTGTCCGGAAATCACTTTTCTTTTTTTTCTGTTCCCTTCTGACTGGATAACGTTTAGTATTCATATTGTCTCTCAATAGAAAGGGACATCCGTTCAGAATAACTAGTATATCCGACTTGGATGTTAGCCAAGTGTTTTAATATTTACTGAGTAACCCCCCCCCTTAACTTCTAACAGGAATATGCTAATGAGGCGGTCCAATGTTTCATGTGTTGCTCTTTGACCTAACTTCCGCCAGCAGGGTGCAGACTAAATAAGTTAACTGGAACAGAAAGTAATCAATGTTGACCTGCAGAGACATTACAGAGCAGGCTAAATGAGAATTGAATATAAAGGAGGCAGTTTTAGAAAAAGTTTGTGGAACTACGTGAGAACTAACAGGGTTCAAAGGTCATCAAGACCCAATTTAAGAAAAGTACAATCCACTTTTTACACACATGCAGATATAAAATACACGGCCTGCACACAAGTAAAAGAGGAAGGATCATTTTAAAGATGTACATCTGAACAGACCAGGAAATTCTATTCAAAACTACTATCTCCCCACAGCATATAACATTAGGTTCTGGAAACCTACTATAAAGTTCAAAATAAATAGCTTTTTAATGTAGTATCTATATGTTTGTGTGCATTAACAGCTAACATTTCCAGGATCTTTTCGTGGGGGAAACATATTATTATTATTCCCAGTCTCCAAATG